GTGGTCTTTCTAACTGTGTGTTCCTGTACAGCAAAGCACAGTTCTAGAGAATCACACAGCAACTAGCATGGTTACAGTTCATAAGTGTGTTTATTCCATGCCAGTGCGCTAGCTGAATTGTTCAGATTGCTTGTAGTCCACAGTTTAATGTGGGTGTTCAAAAGGCTTTACCTTCATGAAAAATTTGAGCTGCGCATCAGAATGTGGTTGGCTCCACCCATAAAGACGAGACTAAACCTGTTTCAGTAGGGCAATATGCCTTTATATTCAGACATTAGGTACATTATCACTTCTAGTTTAAGTTCATCTTATCCAAAGGTGGAAGTGTTAACTGAAGAATGGTCATGGTAATTCATCAGTGCTTTTGCTCAGGGGCTTCCAAACACAGTCGTGGTGTCCAAGGTCTGCTCAGGCCTCCAAAGTCAGCACTTGGCTAGTTTTCTGCTGTCTGCTTAATTTTATCAACCAGAACAAAAACCTCAACACTTCAGACGCTAGTCCAGTAATTTCACTCCTGCTTGAATAGCTGTTTGTTGGACTGATCAGACATCGATCATCTTTTTTATTCATCTTTACATAAGTTTACCCATTAGTATTGCAGAAGTCAATCCAAGTGTAAGTACTGCTATTAAGATTTTTTTTTCCCCATGTGGTTTCCATTGTAGCAGTTAGGTTTTCTGCACTTAGTGCAATTCTGAAATACCTCATGATTTCAGGGTAACCATACTTAAAATAACCAGATATTCAGTGTATGAAACGATTTATCTGTATCAAAGTAATATAACTTACAAGTTACAAAGTATCAAACCAGATAAGTATCATATCTTACCTTTTTTTTTTTCAGAATATTAAGACTTTTGTAATGGGTTGATTCAAAGGTTTTACTTTCCTATATATCTTAGAAACCAGAGAGACTAATGTGCTCTTTTAGGGACACAGCAGCTTTTGTTAGTCGGTTGTGTGTATCAGACATAACTGAAGTTCCTTTAGGGCATGTAGCCTCTTGTATTTTCCTATGGATTATAATATTTAACATCTTGGATTAAAAAAACATGTTCATCAAAGGAATCATGTGGGTTTAGGCAACTAACTTGTATGCATTGAGAAGTTGCTTGTGGGGCTTTTTGGTGGTGGTTTTTGGTTGGTTGGGGTTTTTTTTTGTATGTTTGAACCCAGAACATGATAGTGTGTTTAACAATTTTCAGGTGATTCTTCTGGTTGTTTGTTGGTATCACATACTGCATTATGTGGTAAACAGTGCAGGACAGTAAACTTGTGCTAGCGTTAAATTGGCACTTGATTCATCTTGTTTTAGTGTAGGACCCAACTTTTCATTGTTTATGTTGTTATTTCTGGATGGGAGCCATTTAGCTGATATTTTTTACTCATGTAAAACAGTAAATTTCAGTCTTTGAAGCCTTGCTGTGAAAGATTAATAGATTTGCGAACTTTCTGCATATACTACTTTGCATTTTTTTCCCCTCTGCTTCCTCTTTCAGTTACGTTCTTTTGCACTTTCCATGTGCACCCACACTGGTGAGTGGTATAAAATATGCTTGTAGTGTATAATTTTTACCTTTGACTGACACGTTTAGGATCACGTACTCATACTAATTGCAGTACTAGTATCATGCACTAGTTGGTCTGGCACTCAGTGCAGAGCTTTTTAGCTCCATCAGTGGGGAAGTCACATCCCTGCACACGCTAGCTCTTGAACACCTTGCTTTTCTCCCCAAAGTACTCCAGTAAGGCTGTGATGTATGATCAATGGATCTAGAAGTGTTTCTACCAGGAAAGATACCTCCTTCACTAGGTAAAGTAGGAGAGACTTTTGACACCTTTGCCTTCACCACAAGATGATGGGTCCCCTTTGAGATGTGATGTTGGCTGGAAAACAAGTGCTCATGAAGAAAAAGGAACCTCTGCTACCTCGTCCTTCCCCACCCCTGCTGATCTAGGCTTTGCAACAGTCCTTTGAAACTTAATGGGTTTTTTTGTCCCTATGTTTGAATTTTTTTTTTTTTTTTGGTGAGGCTAATGCCATAACCCCTTTTTTTTTGGTGATGCTAGGACCTGGAAGATGTAATTGGTACTGCTTTTTGCTGAAGTGTATTATATTGATATCTCTTGTTAGTCATTACTGCTGACCTCTGATACGGAAGGATCGATAGGGTTCTGCCAGGTACTCAGCCACAGATCTTCTGTTTGATTAAATAAGCTTCCATTAAATTTACCAGCTTGCAAATTCTTTTAAAAGAAGTTTTACTTTCTGGTAAAAGATACAGTGAAAGTTAAAAGGTATGCTTAATTTATTGATTGATTTTTTTTTTCCCCCCCCCAAGTGTATAGGGCGGTGTATCCTTTGTATAATATGCTTAATTTTGATTGTTTAGTTGATTCAATATGAATGATATATTGCAGGTATATTTGGGGAACTTGGTGTTTTGGTTGGGGGGAGATTTTTTTTTCTTTCCCCTCTACATAAGGGAAAATAACAGATCTTATATTTTACATAAGATAGAAAATCATTCTTAATTGTCTGCTTTCTTATTCATCAGCATTCTGAGTAAATGTCTGTAAAAGCTGAAGTAGTTAACAGTAGTTTCCCTGTTAAGAGAAAAAAAATACATTAAATACAGACACATTCTTTAAGCCACAAATGCATTTGGAATTAAGTTTTCTCAAAACCATCAAGTTATTGAAAGTCATTTGTCTTAAAAAATTCAAAATATTAGGCTCTTACTAGGTTGAAGCTTTTAAGTTGGTTTCAAAGAGCTGTGATAGATCTTTCCTAAACACCAAACTGGTAAGGTAGTTTGGTAAAATGCTTGGGAATGTTTTTGCTGATGGGAAGGTGTGTGGTTACACTCTCTTAATACCTTTTGCTCTTGACCTGAGTGTAACCAAAAGTGCAGAGTTGCAGTATCTGCCAGGCTCCAGGTCTTGGTAACTGACAAGAAGTGCTAATCTTCCACTTAAATACCTCAGTTAAGAGTAGACCCAGGTTCTTCAAAGTTATTAACTTAATGCTAAAACTTGATATTTCCATTGTTGTGGGATGTCTTAGAACTAAGTGGTGAGCAATTGTTTTTCTAGATAACTTCATCTTACATTACATTGTTACATCTCTTTTTGCAAGTGTCCTTGCTCTCCTTGCCACTTTGAAAGCTGTGTTTTAGAATGTTTTGGGACTTAGAATCTTACTATAATGCTTGCTTTTCTTGGTAGTTGGTGATACTTCTGCAAGCTGACATTTTCCCCTTTCTCCTGAGCTGGAGCTGATGTTGAAGAGGTGAAACTAAAGCTGTTTCATAGTAATGTTGCCTCTTGCCGCTGACTACCAAAATTTTTAAAACAGTATGACGTTGTGAAAATAGTGTTTCTTTAGTTCCCAGTGGACAAGAGCATGTTGAGGGATGTGACAGAAAAGTAAAAATTTCAAGATGGTAAAGTTCACTAATCCTAGCAGGAAGCATAGTCAAAAAGAAAAGAGGCACTGTTCTGAAGAGTTGTTATGGAATTCTGTAGCTGAAAGCCACTGACAACATGTCAGTGTGCACTCGTGGCCATGGGCCAGCAATGTGCACTCATGGTGAGGAAGGCCAGTGGTATCCTGGGGTGCATTAAAAAGAGCACTTCCAGCAGGTGGAGTGAAGTTATCCTACCTCTCTACTGTGCCCTGGTGAGGCTGCATCTGCAGTACTGTGTCCAGTTCTGGGCTCCCCAGTTCAACAGGGAGCAACTAGACTGATTCCAGAGGAGGTCTATCTAAAGATGATTAGAGGACTTGAACATCTCCCTTATGAGGAAAGGCTGAGAGCGCTGGGTCTGTTTAACCTGGAGAAGACTGAGAGAGGATCTCATCAGTGCTTACAAATATTGAAAGGGTGGTTGTCAAGAGGATGGGGCCATAATCCTTTCAGTGGTGACCAGCAACAGGACAAGGGGCAACGGGCACAAACTGGAGCACAGGAAGTTGTATGTGTAATTGAGGAAAAAGTTCTTTACTCTGAGGGTGCCAGAGCACTGAAACAGGCTGCCCAGAGAGGTTGTGGAGTCTCCTTCTCTGGAGATATTCAAAACCTGCCTGGATGCATTCCTGTGCAGTCTGCTCTGGCATGGGGGGTTGGACTAGATGATCTCCAGAAGACCCTTCCAACCCTGACCATCCTGTGAACGTACCTTTTAGGCTTGCTATGTTTCCAGAAACATATGGGCTGCTAGTTCTATATAAGATGGCTTGTGTTTTGGGAATGTTCAAAGTGGATGTGTGTACGTTCTAACAGTACCCGAGCTGGGGAGAAAACTTATGATAGCAGCCATTCTTTTCTTGGAAGTGTCAAATTTGTTATCTTAATTGTATGTCTGGTTGCTCTCCAATTTTGACCGAGCTGGGCTAATCTGGATTAAACGGTTCTGTTAAACTACTGTGGATCCCTAGCAGCAGGTGGCTGGGTAATGTTTGTGTATGTGGTTGCAGCAATGGATCTGAAGCTCACTGCTGGAATGTAACTGCTAGGGTTAGTAGTTAAGGGCAGGCTGACGATGGTATCTGAAATCAGCTCCTGCAAAAGAGTAGGCTTTACTACAGCCTCTGTTGTGGTATAATGTGGCTATGTCATCGGTAGTTTCTGCTCCTCTTAATTCCAGTTTTGTTTCCCATTACTTTACTCTTCAGTTCCTGCCCACATTCTTCCTTCTTGATCTGAAACCTCTTCTTGTGGGCATCTTTGCTCCCCCTCAAGTGTCTGCTTGTAGTAAAGGTGTTTAGGTTTGGCCTCCTTTTGCCCTCTTATGGGCAGTTTATTTTCCTCATGGCCCCTTTGAAATAGACAGTAGTCCCCTTACTGATTTGTGTGTATTTGGGGGGTGAGAGAGGTGTTGGTTGGTGGTTGTGTTTTGTTGTTTTGTTTTTTTAATCATCATAATTCTGGGAATGATTCTTTTTAAGTAGCAATGAAAAGTCGTGTAATATGAATAGCTATCAATTTGTGTAATATTGACAGGTGATATCGGAAACTATTACTATGGACAAGGTCATCCAATGAAACCTCATAGGATCCGAATGACCCACAACTTGCTGCTAAATTATGGCTTGTACAGAAAAATGGAAATTTACGTGAGTATAAGCAATAAAATGTCCACTGAAGCATTTTAAGTTATTTTTAAAGGGCCTCAGGTATTTTCACACAATACTTAGGTATTTAAATAGTGTGTTCAGAGCTCTCTTATAGATGAAGCAGTATTTAACTGGTGAGGATTGCAGATTTTTGTCCATGTCAGGAAGAGGGTGAGGTAGAGCCACAGTGAAACTTCACCAGTATGATGGGAGGGAGAGAAGGATTCTGTGGTGGTGTTGAGGAGACACTGTGGTGTCTCCAAGTTGTATACTAACAACTCCAGTTCACCAAGTTGTATACTAACAACAGAGTAGTACTTGCTTTACGTAAAACAGCACTACTATCTGTTTCACTATTCTCCCTTCAAAGTACATTAGATTTCTTTCAAGTTGTCTGTTTGAGCCAATTGTTAGCTGATTTTGCAGAACACTGGTTATTTATATAACTTGTTCTTGTTATCAGCGACCACACAAAGCTACTGCTGAGGAAATGACCAAGTACCATAGCGATGAATACATCAAATTTCTCCGATCAATAAGGCCTGACAATATGTCTGAGTACAGCAAGCAAATGCAGAGATGTAAGTGTCAACATTAGGCTAAATCTGTGTGTATGTGCTTTGATGGGTTACCATTGTTTAAAGCTAAATATTTACTAATACTGAGGTATGAACATGGCTTAATGGTGTCAGTGGGTTAGAGAAATACTGTAGCAAGAGTGACATGTGCCCGCCTTTAGCTACAGTAATTTTGGGACTTTTCTATTAAAAGCAGCCATATTGGCAAAAATGTTCTTTAAGCTTATGGAAGGATTTTTTTTTTTTCCCCTTTCACAGGGTGTATTCCAGTTGTAAAATAATACTTTCTATAAGCTTAATGCACAGATTAGACTTCAGTTGTGAGCTGTTTGAAAGTGTCTTAAAACCTGTTCTAATACAAAATTTTTCTGAAGAAGAATGTCTTTTAGAATAGCAGAGAAGTAAAAATCAGTGTGTGAAAATGTGTTTAAGTCAAGAAAAGGAGTTAGTTACTCCTGTTGGAGGGCGATAGTAAAAACTACGTTTTTCACTGCTCACCCTTTCTGTTAATTTATTTCTTTAATTATAGGAATAGGCTCAAAGTACTGTTAGGAATGCAGTTTGACAGCTATCATATCAATTTAAGAGGCAGTATTGTAACCTCTTTGTGGTGCCTTATTCTCAGCAACTTACTTCTCCAAATAATTCTGCATTCCTTAACATGATGGATGTTAATCAGCACTACTTCAAAAATTTGAAAATGATCTAACAACTTCTTGTTAACAAGGAGACAGAGCTTACTGTAGAAACTAAAAAGAAAAAAAGAAGATAGTTTGGAGTCATCGGAAATTATAAAAACTGTTGTTTTCAGTGTTTACAATTCAGCCTGACAAAAATGAGGTGGGGAGGCTGGGGGAGTAATTAAAATGCTGCACGAACTATGCGTTGGATCTGAAGCATTACCCGTGCATATAGCAATGCTGTTGGAATAGCATTGTTGAAATCTCATACCTTTCTTAAACAGTTAATGTTGGAGAAGATTGTCCTGTATTTGATGGCCTGTTTGAGTTCTGTCAGCTGTCAACTGGAGGCTCTGTTGGTAAGTTTAAATTGTTTGCCAGCTGTTTTTTAACTTTTTGATGATTATGTCAGTAACTTGAAACTTCAATATAGAATCACAGAATGGTTTGGGTTGGAAGGGACCTTAAAGACCATCTAGTTCCAGCCCCCCTGCCATGGGCAGGGACACCTTCCACTAGACCAGGTTGCTCAAAGCCTCATCCAGCCTGGTCTTGAACACTTCCGGGGATGGGGCATCCACCATTTCTGGGCATATTCAACAGTCTGTGTCAGTATTGGTAAAAGATCAGATACAGGATCAGCTTATTTAAGAATAAGATACTATTTCATATAACAGATTTAAAGGCTTTCAAGTTTCTGACTGCATTTCCTTTAATTTCTCTGTATGTCTCTTTACAGCTGGGGCTGTGAAACTGAACAGACAACAGACAGACATGGCTGTTAATTGGGCTGGAGGACTTCACCATGCCAAGAAATCAGAGGCATCTGGTTTCTGTTATGTCAATGATATTGTGCTTGCCATCCTTGAGTTACTGAAGTAAGTCTGTGACAGGAATAAGATAAAATTATAGAAAGTGTCAAATTCAGGTATTTAAATGCTTGAAGCTATGGACTGTAATTACTATTTCATTGAGTTTCCATGGCCCATGTTGAAGTTCTATAGTTTCAATTAAGAAAACTGCAAGCTGTGCCTGGTTTGGCTTCAGCAAGAAGTTTAAACTACATATGATACAGGCAAGCTGAAAAGATAGGTTTAAAATAGATACTTAGAAGCTCTTCTTTACATAGAGGATAGTGAACTTCTGGAACTTGATTCTGCAGGAGGCTGAAGGAAGCAGACAGCAACAACAGATTGAAAAAATTAAGTGTAATCATGGACAGGAGGTCTGTAAGTGGATGTTAAAGATCCAAGCAATGATGCACCCTGTAAAACACCATATGCTGTAATTTTAGATGGTGGGAAGTACTAGGATAGCGGACTTCAGAAAATGTTCAAGCTTACATGCTTTCTGTAAACATCAACTCTCCTGTTGCTACTCCTGGGACAGAATATTGGGCTAGATGGATTGCTGCCCTGACCCCTTAGGGCAGTCATTATGCTCACAACCCATTTGGTTTCTCAGTATGCCTGCTTGTTTCCTATTATCTGAGTCGTTACTAAACCAAACAGGAATATTCAGGGAAGATCATGCACTGAGCTTCCTTGCATTGTTACATGAATTAATGTGGCTGTTATGAATAAATAATGAAATAACAGCTGTGCTGCTGTGGCTGCAAAATAAAAAAATGAGGAGTAATGAAAAAGTGATCATATAATTAACCTAAAGTAGTAATGCTTCACTAAAATTTTACATCCTGAATGTTACTTGTACTGCTTCAGGGGACTGTATCGCTTCTGATAACACAAATACTTCTTACAAAAATGTTTTACAAAAAATATTCTAGGTATTTGACTGGTGAATGAAGCAGCTCAATCTGCTGGTGAGTGATGGGGGAAACAGCTGTAATCTGGAGGTGTTTTTTTTTTTTTTAAAGATGGAAAAAGTTTCTAAGGACACCAATGTAGTTCACAGAATCACAGCATGGTAGGGGTTGGAAAGGGACCTCTAGAGATCATCTAGTCCAACTCCCCTGCCAGAGCAGGATCACCTAGAGTAGGTCACACAGGAACAAGTGCATAGTTAATATTAACATATTAAGACATTTATGTTAATGTACAGCATGTATTCAGGATCTTTCTCAAAGAATAGTATGTTTTTCTGTGGACTAGTCCTCAATTTTTTTTTTTAGCTTTATGTACATGTGAAAGAAGAAAACATTCAAATAGTTATAGATTATGTAACAATGGGAAACAGTCCTGTTCAGTGTCTTGTTAGCAAAAAATCTTAGCCCAGCTGAAACTCCGGTTGCTCAGAATCATGTTCTATAGCATTATGGAAAGCATAATGAAAATGCATCTTCTGATGTTGATAGATTTTGTTCTTTACTCAACAACATAGAATGTAAAGGATACTTACTGTTGTTTCCTAATGCTCTAAGGCTTCAAACAAATGGTTTCCTTGTCCATCTTTAACTGACCTGAAACTTGCAGTATTGAAGGAAATACTAAGCAATAGTATACTCATTTCATGCTGGTGGTAAGTGTAATACACTTTGAAGTAAGAATGTGCCTGTCTTCTTCACTTCTGCAACTTGTAAAAAGTTGATGGAAAATGTGCTGTGCTCTTTGAAGCTTGCACTAAGAGATGTTTTAGTGCAGACTATGTTGGTAATTGTTGAGAAGGCAGAAAGAAATGCCCTGTAAAAGGAACGAATTGAGCAGATGTGCACAACAAAGTTGTGTGAACAGAAACAAGGTATATAGCCTCTATGGAGTGAGGCAACTTGCGGTAAATACTAAATAATTACGTACTTAAATTACTTATTTTGATGAAGATAAACTTATTTTCATTATTATCCAAACTGTACTGAGAATTCTAAGACCATATGGTCACTTCAACGAAAATCATCAAAATTATGATAATCTTGTTTCTTTTAGTGTTTGATTGGTGTTTTTTTGTTAAGTTTTTCTTTGTTAGGTACCAGTATATTATGAACATAATGTATGAGAAACCATCATTATCTTGATTATTTTCTTTCTAGGTATCACCAAAGAGTGTTGTATATTGATATTGATATCCATCATGGTGATGGTGTTGAAGAAGCATTTTATACTACAGATCGTGTCATGACAGTATCATTCCATAAGTATGGTGAATATTTTCCAGGCACAGGGGACCTTAGGGTAAGATTGAACCTGAAATTTCATTAGGTGATAAATTCTTACTTGTTCCCTTCCTTGTACATACTGTTTTAGTTGTAGTTTACAATAACTATGCCCAGTACTAATATACAGTAGCAACTTTTCAGAAAATATCTTAGTCTGAAGTGATAGTTTTGTTGAAGAAACTTCAAAAAACCGAACAGGATTGTGGGGAATAAATCATTCACTTCTATACAAAATCAACACCTTCGCTTCTGGATAAATTTTAGTCCAAATATATAAGTAGTTTAGTTCACTAAGATTTTGGAAATGTCTCTAGGAAGAAAATGTGGTATATTTATATTGATTATCTGTACATTTCAATTCTGCCATACAGTGAAAAGTAGCTGTTTGGATATCATGACTTCAAAACTTATTTCAGATCTTAGAATAACTTTATACCAGAGCTTTAATAGTCACAAAGCTTCAGTTGCAACTTGAATTTGCTGTGTTGTATTTGCCTGGTAAAAACAGTTGGCTCATTTCTGGAGTATTTCTTATGTCTCAGTGTGTTTTTGAATTCTCATGATGCTCACTGCTGAAGAACTTTAGCATGGCCCACCGATAATTGTGTAGTAAGACTGAGAGCTAGCTTGAGGGTGGGAGCATTGACCTGTGAAGAGTTGTCATTAAAGCTGTTGTAGAATCTCTGGCGAAGCTGAGAATGGAAACCAGTTTTCCTGGATCTTCATATGAATTTTAACTAAGTCGTTCCTCGTGTTGGGCTCTTGTCCGTTAGAATAGGAGATTGTTCTGCTTCACAGTTTGAAGGAATACTTCAAGTATTATGATTAATATATTCCTAGCTTCAAACTCTTAACCTGGGAGTGTCTCTGATAGGTTTAAGTTGCTCCTCTGGTATTAGCAACTCTGTATGTTAGTTTGTACATACAGTTCATGAGGTTTTTTTCAAAAATTGTAATCATCCTAGAAAGCTGACCTACCAAAATGCTGATGCAAAAGAATTCACTGGTTTCCTTCTATCTTTAAATTGATTGAAGAGATGGAGATATTTTTCTGCTAATATTCCTGGAATGCATGCTCCCCAGTGTGCAGGTGAGACCCAGAGGACACAGCAGTAAATGAAGATTGAGCTTTAAATCAGTGGGGTGCTAAGTATTCATTTCAGTGCGGTTGTTGGTGCTGAATGTTATTACCGCGGTTAGATTGTGTTAAACTGGAGTCTAAATGGATTTAAGTAGAAATCAGATCATGCTTTTTTTTTTTATCCATGTGCTTTAATTCGACTGGCCACAAGGTGGTAGTGGTGCCTTAAACAAAAAGCAGCTCAGACTGGGCTGTTTATAGTGACAAGCTGTTGCTAAATTTGGCTAGATTTTTTTTTTTGAGGGTTAGATAGGGTGGCTTTTTAGAAACAGCACTTCTCATTGACAGAGAAGTTTATGGATTCTTCACCTCATCACACCCAGGACAAAGAATTTAAAGATACATAGTTTAAACAAATAGAATAATGTTGTATGCGATTGGGATTTTTTTTAGCACAGTGTCAGTGACAAACAGTACCTCAGGCATGGTAACTTTTATTCTGTGTTGCTAGCTAGTATTTTGAAATGGGTATTGTTTGCTTATGCAGGCCTTATTGCAATTATTACATCCCCATAGGAAAAAAAAAAAAACCAACCCACCCACAACCTAAAACATTAGCTTTTTCCTATCTCCAGAGCTTGCAAAGCTAATTCAGCTGAAGGGAGAACTAATGCTTGGAAAAGTAAGTGTATCTTCTGGAGACCAGTATTGTGCTGCTTGCCTTCTGCTCATCCTGATCTGCTGTTGCTGGTTATTTACATCAGCTCTAACAGCCAAATCTTATCTTTGTTTTTGTCAGTAGGGTCCACTCAAGCTTATTTCTGCAATTCTTTAGTTAGTTGCTCTAGTTTGCCGATCAGGTTACGCTTAATTTGATGCAGAAACAAATCATGCACCAGGTGATGAATTTGTGGTTGCGGCTCCGTCAGTGTAGCTGAATCTCACAGATTCATCTAGTTAGCTGCATTCATCTCCTTTCTACTGACGGTATTGTGCAGTATGAACTTCCAGTGTCCTTAGTAAGATATTTGACTTTTTACATGTCTTAGATGACAAGATTAGTGTTGTTATATATATGTGGGCAACTACCAGAATGCAATGTTGTTTCTTTTCCATTGGTTATGAACACCAGCATGGGTTTCAGAAAGCATCCATTGAGTAGCTCAGGCTGGAAAGCAATTGTCCTGTTTAGTGGAAATTGTGTGAACATTTGGCTTTGCTATGTTTTAAGATGAGATCTCCTTTTTTTTTTTTTTTTACGTTCAGGAAAGCAAAGCACTATCACCTAAGAAAAATCAGCATCTAAAAGCCTAGGTGATTGGCTTTGGGAGATTCTGGGTAACTGTCATGCTCCAAATCAGGCTGAGTTGAGTTCAGCAATCTTGCAATACTATGAAATGTTAATGATGTGCTGGAAGGAAAAAAATGTTACCTGTTACTGTTGTGCCTATGCTGCAGTGTGTCGTTTGTCCCTACCTCCCTCCCCATTAAAAGATAGTTCATCACAGAATCGTTTGGGTTGGAAGGGGCCAGAAGATCATCTAGTTCCACCCCCCCTGCCATGGGCAAGGACACCTTCCACTAGACCAGGTTGCTCAAAGCCTCATCCAGCCTGGCCTTGAACACTTCCAGGGATGGGGCATCCACATCTGGGCAACTTTATCCACTTTCAATTTAAACCCGTTACCCCTTGTCCTGTCACTACAGGCCCTTGTAAAAAGTCCCCCCGGGCTTCCTTGTAGGCCCCTTGAGGTACTGGAAGGTGCTATAAGGTCTCCCCAGAGCCTTTTCTTCTTCAGGCTGAACAAGCCCAATTCTCGCAGCCTTTCATCATAGCAGAGGTGCTGTAGCCCTCTGGTCATCTTTGTGGCCTCCTCTGGACTCGCTCCAACTGGTCTGTATCCTTCCGATGTTGGGGGCTCCACAGCTGGACGCAGCACTCCAGGTGGGGTCTCACAAGGGCAAAGTAGGGGGAGAGAATTGCCTCCCTCGACCTGCTGGTCATGCTTCTCTGGATACAGCCCAGGATACAGTTGGCTTTCTGGGCTGCCAGCGCACACTGCCGGCTCATGTCCAGCTTTTCATCCACCAGTACCTGAAAGTCCTTCTCAGGACTGCTCTTGATCCATTCTCCACCCAGCCTGTACTTGTGCTTGGGATTGCCCCGACCCAGGTGCAGGACCTTGCACTTGGCCTTGTTGAACTCCATGAGGTTGGCAGTGGCCCACCTCTCCAGCCTGTCAAGGTCCCTCTGGATGGCATCCCTTCCCTCCAGCGTGTCGACTGCACCACACAGCTTGGTGTCGTCGGCAAACTTGCTGAGGGTGCACTCAATGCCATCATCTGTGTTGCTGGCGAAGATGATACACAGTACTGATACAGTTACAGTACCTGTTACCCCTTGTCCTATCACTATGTACACCTGTAAAAAAGTTAGCCAAACTGAACAGGTTAATCTTACTGTCTTCCCCACTGTACCTTTATTAGTGGCAGGGAATTACTCTGTCAACTGGATCAGTTTCTGTCTTGGTGATGAGCTAAAGGGATGAAATGGGAATGCATGGGATCTTTAGGTTTTGAGCTGACCATCAAAATAGAAGTGGATGGATTCAGGGTTTATTAACTTGATATTTTGTACAGAGGTTTTTCTTTTAATGCATGTGTTGTCCAGGAAAGCTGTTAAGGTACTATAGTTCCTGCATTATTACCTGACAGAAGTGAGAATCATCTGCAAGTTAATTTTTTTTGTTTAAAAACCTTCAGTTTCTTCAAGGGCACCTATAAGTGGTCGCTGATTTTTTTTTACTTCTCTCCCTCTTGCTGCAGCTAGTTCTTCATCCTACATTTGGAACAAAGAATATGTTTTAAAAGCATTCTTAAATCCAAATCTTCTTACATCACCAAAAACATGTATATCACCTTGCTCCTCTCCTCCATCTTGCTTGATTTTTACGTGGATAAACCGATAGTTACGTTTTGCCTTTGTCTTAAATCTTTAAAAAATCACGTGTACTTCCAGCAAATTTAGTCTTGGTGCAAGATTCCTATGCTCCAAAATGATTTCATGGGAGAGTGGGAATCAAGTGAGGTACTTTTCATGTCTGCGAGGAGAAAGAAGCATAATGGTACAAAATTGCTCAGCAGACTTGTGTGGCCTTTTTTCCATGATGTCATCATGTGCTTCTATGTTCGTAATAAACGTTTGTCGTCACTGCTTATAGGACATTGGTGCTGGAAAAGGTAAATACTACGCTGTCAACTTTCCAATGAGGGATGGTATAGATGATGAATCGTATGGACAGATATTCAAACCAGTAAGTACTTCATATTTTTTTTTAAGATCTCTGGAGAGATACTAGTTTCATTGTGTGGATTTCTGTTTGTAATGTGAATCAACAACTTACTGTTTTATATTGATTATAGATTATATCCAAAGTCCATTAGATGTACCAGCCCAGTGCTGTGGTATTACAGTGTGGAGCAGATTCACTATCTGGTGACAGGCTGGGATGCTTTAACCTTACTGTTAAAGGTAAGCAGAAAAGTGTGTGTGTTGTCTGTAATTTCTTATTTAATAAATTTAATAAATCTCTATCCTTCATGCTGTTTTTCAAGACACTTGCATGATGAGGAGTGGAGTCACAAAGACTTTGTTCATTACTATGATTAATCACTTCTTTCTTTGCTATACAGGGATGGCCGAAAGAAACCCAGAAGTTGCCTCTTTCTTTCTGTCCATCTAAAAAAGTTAAGAAGCTTGGTTTTCCATGTTCTTCCTAGCCACTCAAGTGATTCCCTTTCTTCTATGCACAGGCTTTCTGTATCTTTAAAGCAATGTTCTGGAATGACAGGACAACAACATTCATACTACTGCAACACTTACTGTGATGGGCAAATAACAAAACTAGTGGTTCACTTAGTAGGACTACAGATACTAAACATCAAACACCTTGTTGAGCATAAAATAAGTTTTACTGAAATGGGAATACTCATTTCATGTAGTGGTGTTTGTTATACTGAGCCTTTTGTTAACGTTTGTTTATTAACTTCTATAGAATTAATTTTAATATTACTTACATTTCTACCCAAAAGTGTGATTCTCAGTATTGGGATGAGATGTTAATTTAGCAAACCTTACTATTATTAGTGCTAGTGTTAGTACTATTATCTTTATTATTATTTTATTATTACTTATTTAAGTGGTAAAATGTTAAATGTATGTTGAATTTTTGCTAAGCTTTCAATCCAGCGTGTTTGTATCATTCATTTGCTGTGTCTTTGGGGTCTTTTGTGTTTTGTTAATGAGGCAATTAGAGTTTTGTAGGCAACAAAATGCGGTATAGTTTCTGTTGGGTTTGCAGTGTTTCAGGGTTCTTTTCTTGATTTGCACCAGGTGGCAAAGGTACTTCAGTTGCCCATACAGCTCAGATTTTTTTCCATCTTACATATCTTGGAAACCAAGAGAGCTGCTGCCTCCTACAGATGCCTTTCAGTATGCTGTATCTCCCTGGAATGTGTACTGTCTTGGCACCAGTTCACTCTGTAAGCAAGACTTAGCAACCTCTAATACAGGTTCAAATTTAGAAGTAGAAAGGGCCAAGTACTGATTTGCTGTTTTCCCTTCTTCCCCCTTTGTATTTGACTAAGAAATTGTCCCTAGATTTGTCACTGTATATTGACACCAGTTTGAAAAGACAAAACACTGAGCATTCTCAGGCCATTTCAGAACAGCAGCAATAGACCATCATGCAAAGTCTGAAGATTGGGGTGGATAATGTTCCATGTATTTTGTACATTTCTTACCTGTAGATCTTGATTTCTTGTGAGTTGTGCTTAGCTTTTGGGGGAGACAGTTCTGTCTTATTTGAATCAATTCAAGTGTGACTGTATATGTCTGATTAAATAGTTCGTTATCTATTTTTTTGTTTAACAGATATTTTGCATATATTGTCAATTCTTTTTGTTGTTTGACAGGTCATGCTAAATGTGTGGAAGTTGTGAAGACTTTTAACTTGCCGTTGCTGATGTTAGGAGGAGGAGGATACACTATTCGTAATGTTGCTCGATGCTGGACATATGAAACTGCTGTTGCCTTAGATTGTGAAATTCCTAATGGTAAGTATTAATCTGCAAATTAATATTAAGAAAAAATCGTGGGATAAGGTTTAAGTGAGCAGATACCTACAGAAATATTTGCTATCTGTAATGCATCTGTTTAGAATAAACTATGTAGAAAGCTGTTACTAAATTTTTTTCAGTAGATCATGCACTAAGTAAACTTAAGTATTTGGGCCTTTTTCAATGCTTTAGCAAAAGCTTTAAATGATTGGATCATCTTTAGAAAAATCAAACGTGTAAAACTTAGGGAACTTTGTAACTGTTTTTAATGCAAATGTCATCTGTATGATTATAATATAGATTGCATTAGGATTGTAACAGCGTAGACCTGTGTAAGTTGGGCACCACAGACATGGTATTATCAAGAAATTAATGAGTATGCATGTGATTTACATAGTAAAACATAACTATTTCTTCATTGTGTCTGTGACTTAAGAGTAACTGAAAGTATATTGACTTCCACTCTTCCATGTGACTCAATTTTGACTATACAAGCTATCTTAAAAAATTTAAAATAAAAGCAGTAGTCAACTTCTTTTTGAGTAGTTGCATAGTAAAGTAATTTCTCTGAGGAAGATCCCCAAAGATCCTGTACTCCTTTTACTTCTGGCCAAGTATACTTCTGGGCATGTTTTTGGAATGCCTTTTCATAAAATTGGTATTTGGACTGATTTGTTGCACATCAGTCGTTGGCAGTTCTTGTGCTGGACTGCAACTTTTGCTGATAACCTTTTGCTATTCATCTGTCTGTCTTGCTGGTTTCATAGTGTTTCCATCTGACTTGTGAGAAAAGGATATTTGGGCAGTACCTTTCATGATGTTTATTTTACATCTTACATCCTAACGTATATTCTCTGTCAGCCAAGGCTTTTGAAGAGACAGTAGTATTTCCTTATCATGGGACTTTTTTTTTTTCCATTAGCATGTCCCATTCAGTGGATTTATATGAAGGTTTGGATTTTTTTAACATTCTTTTCAACTTTGTGGCTCCCTGTCATCTTTAATCTGTTTTGAGAAAGAACAGTGTGTTTCTAAATGTTGTAATAGCAAGTTAATCTTGCTGTCTCCTTTATATCCCCCGAACAAGATCGCTTATCCTGTAACAATCATAAATGAAGAAACAAAACAAATGGTTCAATTAGAAGTGAATTTCAGTGTCTCATTTCTTAAGGGTTCTAAGTTTTTTTTTTTTTTAGATTTCTCTTACTTTTCTAGAAAGATGCATCATATTCAATATAAAATGCTACTGTTTTCCTGGATATGAAGTCTTCATAGACTTCACTTTAGGGATTAGATGTTCCAATCAGGGGACTATTATCTGTGAAAATACAAAAAACAGGGGAAGTAGAAAGGGGAGGAATGGACAGACACGGGCATCACTGAACCACAGTACAGCACTTACCAGGGATACTGAACTAGCTGTGTTCTTCTGCCTGATAATACGTATTACACGTGTTACTGAAAGAATATTTTGAATGGTGTGCTTAAAACTTTTCAGACTGGACTAACTTTGAAAACTGCTGTAAGAAATCATCAGTTGATCTACTCTTTTCTGCAGAAGTAGCATTTTTAATTATTTTACCAGGTTTGTTACTTACGTTGTTGCAGGGTATATTCTAACATGATTACAGTAGACCTTTTTCTTGATCTTCATATTTTGCCAACAAATTAAAGCTAATCACTTCAGTAGTTTAGAGGACAAATGTGGGATAACTCAGGCAGTACTTAAGTATTATTGTTTACCACAATGCTTTAGGTTTGATAGTTCTTTAAAATCCTGACAAAACTACTGTTTATATTTTAAATATTTTAAAATTTTTTGGGAGTCACAAAGTTGTCTTTTGTGGTTTGATTTATAGAGTTGCCATACAATGACTACTTTGAGTATTTTGGACCAGACTTCAAGCTTCATATTAGTCCTTCAAATATGACTAATCAGAATACACCAGAATATATGGAGAAGATCAAGTAAGTAGTGGTTACTTTACCTATCTTGCAGGTCACGTGGATCATGTTTCTCCAGAAGCTTAATTTTTAGGCAGTTTTGAAAACTGTACACATTTCTTTGTTACGCACTAAAAATAAATGTCATATCTGTTTGATACTTTACATTTCTGTCAGAAGAGGTGCTTTTAAAAAGTTTGTTCCTACAACAGTATGCATGCTTACGAAATCCTGTGACCATAAATATGAAAATTTAAGACCCAGCTTGGACTTATACTTTTTCCAGCAACTAAAGAGATGACTGTTTTACTTGGCTTCCCATTCTAATTTTGTAGAAAGTTTATCCCATCAGGAAAGAGGCTGGAATGCTGTGATGATTAGGATTTCTAATTCTCATCTCTGTGTCTAAACATGAACAGATATTGTCATTCTTTGTTCGTGTCAGCTGTGAAAATAAAGTCACATGTGAGCTCAGGCATCCAAAACTGTTGAAAGTCAGTGATATGTGTGCAGACAGTTCAGCGACTGTGGTTTGACAAGTCCACAGGGTCTGAGAAGCATTCATTGCCAAGCTATAGTGGGTATGTGTTTTTAGCCTGTGTTGCTTCTGATACATAGTTTATTCCTCCTCGCACCCTGAAGGTTTCATTGTAAGCAGGTATTTTACTTCAGGGGTGGAGTAGTGCCTGCACACAACCGATTCTGTACTCAACTGATAGACATAATTGAAGAGCCTGAAGTACTCTGAGGCTTGTCACTGCTCTGGGTTTGAAAGAACAAAACCCCACCTCAGCCCTGAGCTTAACAGGCTGTTAACAGTGCACAAGAATTCTTTTGGCTACTGAAATAGCTGAACAAAGATGCGAAACTAGCTGTGTAAAACCACCAAATTGTAAAATTCACCAAAACAGTTAAAATACTAATTTTTGTAGTGCTTCCTGTATAGACACGCAATGGTGTTCATAACAAATATATAAATCACAAGCAAATGAAAGGGTTTTAGTTTTTGATAATGTGTGAGGCAGGGAAAAAAACCACCTATCTTTCACTGATGTAATTCTGCAAAACTTCTCTGTGGTAGTAGTGCTCCAGCTGGTGATCTGCCAGGGTGCTTTGTATGTCGTGTGTCGTTGAGCTTCCGTGCTGTGAGTAGGCTGCAAAAATGGCTTGCTCCTTAACACATCCCTGGGCGTGGATTGTGTGCATTCTGTCAATCTCGCATCCTCATGCTAGCACCCCCAAGAGCAATGTGAAGTATCTGTTCAGAGAACCCTTCTTCACGTAGTTGTACGTGTTCACAGAGACCCGACTTTCCTTGTCTGTTACTTGCAGGCAACGCTTGTTTGAAAACTTGCGCATGTTACCTCATGCACCCGGCGTGCAGATGCAGGCCATTCCTGAAGATGCTGTTCATGAAGATAGCGGAGATGAGGATGGAGAAGATCCAGACAAACGCATTTCTAGTAAGAAATATCTTTTGATAGAGCATGTCCCAGTAGAGTAGTTTTAGATATAATTGTTCAGAACCTTGACCCTAGTAGTGTGGTTACTTTGTTACTGTTAACCTTTCTATGGACCGTGAGTTGTTCTTCAGCTATAGCTTAAGTTTCCTGCTACCTGTAGCCTTTTTTGATGGTGACTGGAGTAATTCTATAACCTCTTACTGGTGCATTGTCCATTTTCCGAACTGTTGAAACATAATGATTTCTCCTGTGATTTAGTTTCCAGTGTTTGAAATTCATTTGATTTACATGTTAAAATAATTCCAACCTCCCCCGGTATCTCTGTAAAGCTATTTTCAGAAGTCATTGTGAGAATCTCAAAGTGTCTTGAAAGATAGTATTTTTATCCACAATTTAGTTCATCAGCATTACACGATTATAGTATATTATTACTCGTTCTTAATTTGATACTTCTTTTTGTATTACACCTATTGCAGTTGGACTTTACGCTCAATTAACTTTATAACTCTGAATCCTAGTTCGAGCATCTGATAAGCGTATAGCCTGTGATGAAGAGTTTTCAGATTCTGAAGATGAAGGGGAGGGTGGACGACGAAATGTTGCAGATCATAAGAAAGGAGCAAAGAAAGCCAGGATAGAAGAAGATAAAAAAGAGACGGAGGACAAAAAAACAGGTAGGATGCTGTTGTGACTTTTATCCTGTATTTTAGAAGCACAAATGTCAGCTCTGACAGGAGAAAGATGTGTTTTTCTGTTGACAGTTAATTAGCTGTTGAGATGATTTATTTTTTCTATCATATTTAAAGCATCTATTTTAAATTAATCCGTTTCAAGACACAGCTATTCACAGTAGAGTAGTATTCCAGTGAAATATTAGAGCCAGGGATTTGTAGAGCTTGATGAAAACAGGGATAAAAAACTGTTCTTGCTTTAAAATACGTTAGACAAAGAGTTTGTTCCTGTTTGCTTTTGTAGGGTGAGCCAGCTGGTGTTCTCTGAAACAAGCTGGATAGGGTTCTGGGTGTAGTCTCATTCCAAGGACTCTTGACTTTCCCGAGAACAGTCTGCATCTTAGGGCTACCAGACTACCACATGGAGCTCAGGGGAAGTCCAGGTCTCACTACTGCACCATCTTTATGGCCAGTCAAGAGGGACATGCCCTGAGGTGTTCTGAATCACTCGGCATTGTGCCCAGATCGCAGTTTTGGATGGATGCATTTAACACTCTATTTTAATATGTAACCAGTGACAACTTACTAAAAGCTGATTACCCCTGGGTAGGAGTATATACAAAAAAGTATAGCCTGATGTTTCTTCTTGAAGTCTTAAGGTTGTCTTGCATCTTTTTGGTATAATTAAAATATTGTTATTTTTCAGATGTTAAGGAGGAAGATAAATCCAAGGACAGCAGTGGTGAAAAGACAGATGCCAAAGGGTAAACTCTCATTAACTAGTAACGAATGCACCTTTTTGAAAAGTGTTCATTAATTGAAAATATTATAAAGTACTGTTTCCTGTAGTATTACGAAGTATTGATTTCTGTAGAGAACAGTTTCAATTCCTCATGGTACTCAAAAGTATCTTACTCATGACAGTAGTAATTCAAAATTGCATTTTTAAAACAGGTTTTCAGGAAAACAAAACAACTTAACAGTTTATTTTTGCCTTTGTACAGAGCAAAATCAGAACAGCTCAGCAATCCTTGAACAAAAGATAGCCTCTCATCAGTCGCAGAACATAATACTAGAGTTGGAGAATACCTAAAAGAAGAGAAAAGCTTTCGTATTGAGAGAGACTGCTGATTTCATTTTGTACTATTTGGCATGGACCGTATTTATTTTCAAACGGCTTTGTTCTGTTTTTTGGCAAGTTGTATTGTGAGTTTTCTAATTATGAGGCAGAAATTCCTTTCTTCACCATGCTTTATGTAATAGTATTTAAAAATGGATGTGAGTTATTATGTTAAATGTCTAAACTGATCTATTAAAGTAATTTGCCTTTCCTGAGCTGATTTTACCTTTTTTGTAATTTTATCTTTATTAAAAAAAAATTGTACTTGGTTGTCTTTTGTCCATCATTGAACTACAAAGAGGAAAAACTCCATATAAATTAAGCAGACTTAGTTTACCTGTGAGTAGCAAGTGGATTTAAAAGGGGCACAGATGGAACGCTTGCACTCCTCAACTCCGCATGTTTCAGCGGCTTCTGCTTGGGGTGCAGATAGATGCATTGGAAAATGAGGACATGAGATTTCAACAGGCTGAATAAATGGGTGGAGAGATGTTGGAATATGGTAGTTGTATGAACTCTTGTCTTAATGTTAAAGGTTGAAAACTTTGGAGCCACATGACTTGCACTGTCTAAGAACCTTTCCCACCATCAGAATCTACCCAAAAGACTGATTCAGTTGCTGTTAGTGAAATTTGTATATGGTCATCTTTAAAAGCTTGCAAGCTAGGAAGTGGAAGTTTAGGTTTAACTTCTTCCAATTTTTTACAATTACGAGCATCATAAAACTTTGTTTCCCTTAAAAAGAAATACTTTAGTTGCTTGCCTTCCTCTTTGATTCATTAGTTCTTTCTGGTGCCTGCATTGAAAGAGACACCTGTGTGCACATGTTGCTTTTTTTTTTCCCAACCCCTCAGTCTACAACAGTTGTCTTGCAGGTTGATATTTAATGAAATGCACAAGGCTTGGTATTGACACTTCAGAGCAGCGAGTACAGAATTTTGCAGAACTGCAAACCCAATCCCTGAACTCAAGGTTACTACACAAACTTTTTTTTTAAATGAAAATTAATCTTACTTTTTTTTTAACTATTCTCTCTCCTTTTCATAAAATTCTGGGATTGTGGTCTGTGGACTTATTGGTTGATTTGTGTTAAAATTCTGATGCACTACTTCAAATTACTTGTGCATTTGTTCTGTCCAAGTGGTATATTCACTGAAAGCATGTCTTGTGTTGACTAATTTGATTTTTTTTCCCCAAATAATAGGACTACTTGAATATGTAGGAGGGGAAAATTTTTGTTTTCCTAATGCCTTTTTTATTATATTGTTGTGTTTTTTAATGTTCCTGAACATTTCATCTTGGAGTTTTCTCTTCTGTTTGGACTCTTAAATAAACTTAAGGGCTAGATTCTTAAATGTTTTTTAACACCCATGTACTAGTGCTGTGTTATTCCTTCCAGGAAAGTACCTGGAACACGGACATGTGCATAATAATCTGTTTTAATAGTGTTTAAATCACTGGGCAAATTTACTATGTTAACCTGTTCCTATATGTAGCTATAGAAAATCCTTACAATTCAGTTTTCCAAAAGCTATGAACTCCTAATTGCCTGCTTCAGGTCTTTGTTACATTTTTGACTGAAATTTTAGCAAGAAGATGGCAATTATCTGTAGTTTAAGATGTTGTTAATTTTAAATAGGTTGCGGATGGTTCTGTTGGGAATGAAGACTCAGTACGTGAGTAGAATTAGTGGACCGAAATACAGTATTTTAAGGGGATAAAATAGGGATAAAATAGGTTTGGATTTTTTGTAGATATGAATTAGACTGTTGCTGTCGGTAGACTTTGACATGCCAGTGTGTTTTTGCTACACTGAGAACGTCTTGAAATTAAATCTGAGCTTTTGGTAGAACATACGTGCTCTCTGGACACCTCTTAGAGCATCTGGAACTTCAGAGATGCTTCATGTATCTTCACTGAAGAGGCTCGGGGAGGACTTGCTGTGTGTTTCTGTTCTTGATTGAGGCCTGGATAAGGAGACAACAACTGGGAGCAGGTCTGCAGCCTTCCATTTGAATCTAATACCTGCTGGCTCTCCAGGGCAGAGGAGGAAAGTTGGATTCAGGGAACTGGTAGAAAGGCTGTAGGATTGTACCAAGAGGATGGGAGATCAGTGTCACCGTAAGTATCCACTGATACTTACGCTAAGAAGTTTGATGTTCCACATTTTGTTACAGAAGTTTTGACTTTATAAACTGAAGTTAATATAAATGTCTATATTACTGTGTATATACATCTTTGGTTTTAGTTGTTATGTACCTTGTTCGTGTCTATTACAGGATTCTTGTTAAAGTAACCTGTAATCTCTGCCACCATTACAAGTAGATCAAGAACTCTTCTTCATTAGCTGGATTTCCCAGATAAAGATATTGGAAAGATCCAAGCTTGTGACTTTGGCTTACTTCAGCACAAAGCAGCAAAATGTGGAGACCTTAATATATCGATGAAATCCAGGAATATGCGTAAGTGATACTATCCCTCAACTCAAGACCAGCAGAATGGTTAAGTTTTTTGCATCATCCTCAATCGTTTATTGAAAATGACAATGATATTCACCAATCCTCAGCAGGATATGAATGTTTTCTATTATTAAAGGGAGGTGTAATTATAAAATACGTATCTTCATCTTGGTATTCAGGCAGCTTTCCTTGAATTAACTATGCAGGTTCTCTGGGCCCAAGCATCTCTCTCTCCCCCACACCCTTACGTAAAGCTGTTGCTCACGCTGGTGCAGTTTGTGCTGTGCAGACTTAATCTGCAATATTTGACAGTCTCTAGTGCCTTGTGTAAAGCTACTTTATGCTTTGTGTTTATGCCTGGAGGAGGGAAGTTTCCCTTGTCCTTAAAGAACTAATTCATATTTCAAGCATAATTTGCTTTTAGCTTTACTTATCCAACAAAAGATTCTTGCGTGCTCAAAACACTAACAATCACCATCCAATTTTTAAAAACCTGGAAGCTAAGAATAACAATAGATTTTTTTTTTAATGTTCATGCTGGCAACTGATGGTGAAGGGTTTTTTATTATTTTTTTTCTTGTATTCCATGTATTACTACCATCTTTTATTCTTTTAGAGGGATCTTTGTAAAACCTCTGATATTGTTACCACTTCATAAGGAGTTTGTGAATGATTCATCTTAGGAAGAACTCCGGATACTCAATTTCTGAAATGCATTGTTCAGATATTTTGCAGGTTGGTTTTTGGTGTAAAAAACCAAACTTTCTGCTCAGGTAGAAATGTGAGATGTTCCTGTTTCATGAGATGCAGTACCTGTACCAAGACATTCTTCAAAACCCATGCGTAGGTCTGCGTACAAATGGAAACAGATTTTTGTATTATTAATTTCTTTGTTCTACAGGAATATAAATATGAATGCATATAAAGGGCTATTTCTTAAGGAGAGGAGTGAGAAGGGTCAGGATTTTTCTTTTTTTCATTTAACTTGGATTCCTTCTTCAGTTTTGTTCCCCAAGTGACTATGCAATGTTTGGCTGGTCTCACAGGGAGGAGTAATCCTTTCCTTTCATCAGAAGAGCTACTTCAAAACGGACTCGAAAGTGTAGCCAAAACCTTGAATTTATAACATAGTTTGCATTTCTGTATTTGCAAACCCCACTGAAAATACACTTCATGTACACGCAGCTTCCCGTTCTTTCAATAAGTATCTGTTTGGGAACATGCGTCCATGTATGTGGAGGAAAAAAAAAATCTGAAAGGGAGTTGAGAATCCAGAATTTCTTGCACCCAGAGCCTAGAATTCTCTATTTCTGTTTGCATATATGCTAGTGGTTTAAGATGAATGATGTGGTTCTTTTTAGCCAATGTTTCAGTGGAATTCAGAAATCTGTAAACTGAACCATATTAGGATTTTTATTATACATGTTTAATAGATGTTGCAAACATAGTCTGTAAGATCCCATGGCAGCAGAAATAGTACCTATTATGAATAGTTATCAACCGTGGGCTTTTTTTAAAAAAAAATTACCTATTTGTGAGGTGAAAATGTCAAAAATGAAGACGTGTGTGGCCGTATTTGGTTGTATTGTACTTCACTCCAAATGATTGACAGTTGACTTTGATAAATGGCATTGAAGACATCATCTGTTCTTGGGGATGGTTGAAGCAGTGGTAAGAATGAGATGTATTTGTAGAAGGGATTAGGTGAGCTACAGCCTCTGCCCTTGTTCCCTTTGCTCCTGTTTCCTCAGCCCCACCAAACATGTTGATTGTTCCCCATCCCTGGCAAGAGGGTAGCTGCAATCTCTTCCCCTCCTGTGGCTGTATCTTGATTTAACCGGCTCTTTTAGTTGGTGGTAATTTTTTTTTAATTAATGAATAGTTTTGCACCTGAAAATGGTTCTTTAGCTCAGTAAAACCATGAATGGATGCAGCCAGTTGAAAACATTTGACTTACCAGTGATAATTCTGCTACTTTTTTGCCAGTGAAAGAATCTTTCAACATCTTTACCTTTTTTGTGTCTCATGTGTCATTCTGTTTAGTCATACCACCTCTGTAAGAGCACATGAAAATGCAACAGAGAATTATATGAACTTATTGAAAAAGATATACCACACTGAAGTGTTGAATGCTTTTCGACTTACCTTAGAGAATGCCCTATCTTTTTGAAATGGCACTCCTTGTAAATAGATGATCTGGCAAAACTAGCTATTGAAGCTGGATGGCAGCAGGCAGAAATAAAGAATAACTTCCTAGGTTAGAAACTTTTAATAACAACATAGGCCTAATGTTTTCCATGGTCATACTGCCAGAAGTAGAAGAGGGAGAAAAAAAGAAAGGAAGAAAAAAAGCTGTGGGCAAACTTTAAGCAATTCCATGTTGCAGTCACCAAACCAGCTCCACATGGATAATGCATATGTTGAGTTGCTCTTTGTTTTTTAAATCTATTTTAAAAACTTTCTTTATGTGATGCTGCTTTTAATGATATTTGATTCAATAAAACGCCCCAGAGACTAAGCTGGTGGAGGAAAAATTTCTCCCATCACTACAGATTCTATCATACTTGGGCTTGTTCAGCCTGGA